GGAGACATGTGTTCAGTCACTGGGTTGGGAAGATCCCCTGGAGAAAGAAATGCCAGCCCATTCTTGCCTGGGAAATCCCATGGACAGAGGAGCCTGGCGGGCTACAGTCCATGGGTTACAAGAGTCAGACATGACTTACCAACAAAACAACAGCAACAAAATATTCATGAGCTTCATTTTGAGATGCAGCTAGGTTGAGATGCAGCTAGGTAACACTGAAACAGTCTGATATTTTCAAGGCTTGCTTTTAAGGTTTGTTAAGTGAGACCAGGCAGCATAATTTGAGAGCATAATTTTGTCCCATTACTAAGGCAGTATCCTTGTGAGCACTCTACCTTGTTTATTACAGGGTTTTTTAAGATTCTGGCTGGTAGTAAGATGAACTATACCTGGCTTTGTGTGAGCTTGGCCTGTTTTCCCCTAGGTTTTCAAGTGGCTTCTCCCCACTTTGTGTTTTTTTCTCATATACATGCCCCCTTCGATATGTGGGGAAAAGTGAAAGTAAGTTAAGATTCGTAATGACAGTTGCCTTTGATCAGAAGAATAGAAGATAATATAATTTATGTTCTGTCCTTTAAAGAAAGAAAAGTTAAATAATAGTGATGGAATTTGTATCTACTCACTGTATGTTTAAATTGAAATTAGGCTGAAGAATTTAGATTTTGTTATAGTTTTACTGTTTTCTGCAATCCATTTGTTGTTCAGTTGCTCAGTCATGTTTGACTCTTTGCAGCCCCATGGGCTGCAGCACGCCAGGCTTCCCTGTCCTGTACCATCTCCCAGAGCTTGCTCAAACTCATGTCCATTGAGTCAGTGATGCCATTCAACCAACTCATTCTCTGTCATCCCCTGCCTTCAGTCTTTCCAAGCATCAGGGTCTTTTCCAATGAGTCAGTTCTTCACATCAGGTGGCCAAAGTATTGGAGCTTCAGCATCAGTCCTTCCAATGAATATTCAGGATTGATTTTCTTTATGATTGACTGGTTGGATCTCCTTGCGGTCCAAGGGACTCTCGAGAGTCTTCTCCAACACCACTCTTACATCCATACATAACTACTGGAAAAACCATAGCTTTGACTAGACAGACCTTTGTCACCAAAGTAATGTCTCTGCTTTTTAATATGCTGTCTAAGTTTGTCACAGCTTTTCTTCCAAGGAGCAAGCACCTTTTAATTTCATGGCTGCAGTCACCATCTACAGTGATTTTGGAGCTCAAGAAAATAAAGTCTGTCACTGTTTCCTGTATTTCCCCATCTATTTTGCCGTGAAATGATGGGACCAGCTGCCATGATCTTCATTTTTTGAAAGTTGAGTTTGGGGCCAACTTTTCACTCTCCTCTTTCACCTTCAAAAGACTTTAGTTTGTCTTCGCTTTCTTCCATAAGGGTGGTGTCATCTGCATATCTGAGGATATTGATATTTCTCCTGCCAATCTTGATTCCAGCTTGTGGTTCATCCAGCCCAGCATTTTCACATGATGTGTTCTGCATATAAGTTAAATAAGCAGGGTGACAATATAGAGCCTTGACGTACTCCTTTCCCAATTTGGAACCAGTCTGTTGTTCCATGTCCAGTTCTAACTGTTGCTTCTTGACCTGCATACAGATTTCTCAGGAAGCAGGTAAGGTGGTCTGGTATTCTCATCTCTTTAAGAATTTTCCACAGTTTGTTCCACAATCAAAGGCTTTAGCCTAGTCAATGAAGCAGAAGTAGATGTATTCCTGGAATTCTCTTGCTTTATATATGATGCAGTGGATGTTTGCAGTTTGATCTCTGGTTCCTCTGCCTCGTCTAAATCCAGCTTGAACATCTGGAAGTTCTTGGTTCACGTACTGTTGAATCCTAGCTTGGAGAATTTTGAATGTTACTTTGCTAACGTGTAAGAAGAGTGCAATTGTGCGGTAATTTGAACATTCTTTGGCATTGCCTTTCTTTGGGATTGTAATGAAAACTGACCTTTTCTAGTGACTTCACTTTCACTTTTCACTTTCATGCATTGGAGAAGTAAATGGCAACCCACTCCAGTATTCTTGCCTGGAGAATCCCAGCGATGGGGGAGCCTGGTGGGCTGCCGTCTATGGGGTTGCACAGAGTTGGACACGACTGAAGCAGCTTAGCAGCAGCAGTCCTGTGGCCACTGCTGAGCTTTCCAAACTTGCTGGCATATTGAGTGCAGAACTTTCACAGCATCATCTTTTAAGATTTGAAATAGCTCAGCTGGACTCTCATCACCTCCACTAGCTTTGTTTGTATTGATGCTTCCTAAGACCCAGTTGACTTCATACTTGCAATCCATACTGCATAGTGAAGTGAGTACTCCATACTGAGTACTCCATACCTCTGTCCTCCTCCCTTTCCCCACTTGCAGTGGCTGTGTCCATGTATATAAGTGATGATCTTGTATAGAGCAGTGGTTTTATTTCATATGCAATACCTAGATTTTAATGTAGTTCGGTACACAACTGTACTTACGGTTCCTGACTGGCATTTAACAATGTAAATACTCAACTGTGTACAGTGCAAAGAAATATGGAACTTTAATCATAAATTCACAATTGATGGGTGCTGAAAAAAACTATTCGTTTAAAACCCCATAGGTAGTACAAAAATTTTTGTCTAGTAGGAGCCACCATTGACATAAAATATAAAAGTAGAGCTTTTTCAGATTTTTCTATAAATTACTATGGTTTTTGATACTTGTTAACAAAGGAGATTTTACTCTACTTTTAGAAATTAAGAATGAGTTCTTACTTCAAAATCTCACAAAATTAATTGGTGTGTGTGTGTGTTTCATTTCTAGATACTGTTAGGAAGATAAATTTGTCACCTTAAAAACCATATTATTTCATTCCTAGGTCTCACAACTTTTAGTCTCTTATGAAGCTTTCTGTTAATTTAGAAAGTGGTAATAGAAGATATAAGCTTCATAAAACCTTTTTAATGAGACATTTTGGATATTTTTCAAATATCATCTCATCACGTCTCAAAAAGTACTCAGTAAAGGTAGCTCAACACTGATGAAGACTGTTCAAATCTCAGGAATATTTTGTTCCTAATAGCAAAAGTTCTCCTTTGAAAAGTATGCCATTGAAGTTAACGTGTTAATATTGTGTTTGGAATAGGCATTGTCTTGAGTGTATTCCTTGATGAAATGAAAATACTCTGTGGAATAAGTCTTAGCAGAAGGGTCATCTGCAACATTTGTAATAGATGTCATTATATAATAAAGTATTTGTGATAATAATTATATTTTCTGTTATATTTTTCATTTTTATTGAAATACAATTGATTTACAGTGTTTGTTGTATTAGTTTCTTGAATATATGTGGGGGGTATATGTATAAATATTTTAGATTCTTTTCCATTATAGGTTATTATTCAGTATTGTGTAGAGTTCTCTGTGTTGTATGGTAGGTCCATATTGGTTATGTATTTTATATATAGTAGTATGTCTATGTTAATCCCAAACTCCTAATTTATCCTCCTTCCTTTCCCTTTTGGTAACTGTAAGTTTGTTTTCTATGTCTGTGAGTCTGTATCTGTTTTATAAACAAGTTCATTGTATCCTTTTTTTAGATTCCACATCTGTGTGGTATCATATGGTATTTGTCTTTGTCTAACCTACTTCACTTGGTATGATCATCTCTAGGCCCATCCATGTTGCTGCACATGGCATTATTTCATTCTGTTTTATGGCTGAGTAATATTCTGTTGTATGTATATACCACATCTTCTTCATCCCTTCATCTGTCAGTGGACACTTGGGTTGCTTCCATGTCTTGGCTGTTATAAATAGTGCTGCAGTGAGCATTGGCGGGGCATGCATCTTTTTTAATTATAATTTTCTCATTATATATGCCAAAGAGTGAGATCACTGTGTTTTTAGTTTTTTAAGTGACCTTCGTTGTTGTTGTTGTTTAGACTCTAAGTCATGTCCAACTCTTTTATGACCCCCAATGACTGTAGCCTATCAGACTCCTCTGTCCATGGGATTTACCAGGCAAGAATACTTGAGTTGGGTTGCCGTTTCCTTCTCCAGGGGATCTTCCCAACCTAGGGATCAAATGCATGTCTCCAGCATTGGCAGGAGGATTTTTTACCATTGAGCCACCTGTGAAGCCCAAGGAACCTTCATAGTCTCCATAGTGGCTATACCAATTTACATTCCCACCAATAGTGTAGGAAGGTTCTTTATCTCCACATCTTCTCCAGCATTTATTATTTGTAGACTTTTTGATGACTATTCTGACCATTGTGAGGTGATACCTCATTGTAGCTTTGATTTATATTTCGCTAATAATTAATGATGGCGAGCATCTTTTCATGTGCTATCTGGCCATTCGTAGGTCTTCTCTTTAGAAAAATGTTTGTTTAGATCTTCTGCTCATTTTTTATTTTTTAATATTAAGCTGTGTGAGCTGTTTGTATATTTTGGAAATTAATTCCTTGACAGTCACATCATTTGCAAATATTTTCTCTTGTTCCATAGTTTGTCTTTTAATTTTGTTGATAGTTTCCTTTGCTGTGCAAAAGCTTTCAGTTTAATTAGGTCATGTTTGTTTATTTCTCTTTTATTTTCATTACTCTAGGAGGTGGATCGAAAAAAATATTGCTGCGATCTGTGTCAAAGAGTGTCCTGCCTATGTTTTCCTCTAGGATTTTTACAATATCCAGTCTTATATTATTTATTTAAATTGGAGGATAAATACTTTACAGTATTTTGATGGCTTTTGCCATACATTAGCATAAATCAGCCATAGGTATACATGTGTCCCCCCACTCAGAACCCTTCTCCCACCTCCCTCTCCACCTAGTCTTACATTTAGGTCTTCAATCTGAGTTTATTTTTATATATGGTGTTAAAGAATATTTTTAAGCAGTGGAATAGATTAAAACATAGAACTCGTTTTTTACGATTCAGTTTATTGGAAGTCATTCTAATTATCCCTTTTATTTCCTCTTTATCCATCCCCTGCATCCCTTTCTTTTTCCACTCACAGCTCTATGCCATCCCTTGGTTTCTCACCATGTTTACTCGTAAGTATCCTTTTCCATTTTCTTTCAATATTGTATTAGGAAAAGAACAGGTCCATTCTTCCCCAGGATATTATCAGATTTAATTACATAAGCATCCTTATGTAATTCTTTTTTTTTTTATTTTTTTTATTTTTTAATTTTTATTAGTTGGAGGCTAATTACTTTACATCATTACAGTAGTTTTTGTTATACATTGATATGAATTAGCCCTGGATTTACATGTATTCCCCATCCCAGTCCCCCCTCCCACCTCCCTCTCCACCCGATCCCTCTGGGTCTTCCCAGTGCACCAGGCCCGAGCACTTGTCTCATGTACCCACCCTGAGCTGGTTATCCGTTTCACCCTAGATAATATACATGTTTCAATGCTGTTCTCCTGAAACATCCCACCCTCTCCTTCTCCCAGAGTCCACAAGTCTGTTCCATAATTCTAAGGTAATATAGTTGGGTAGAAAATTTTTTCAATTGTTCTGACTGGGGAATATCAAAAAGAGTATTCTGTAAAATGAAAACCTATATGTCATAACATTGATACAATTTCTGCCCTCTATTGAAACATAATATTAACTGTATTATTTACATAACGTTTTAGAAGGCAACTTTTACAACCAAATCAGACTCAATTTTTAGAGACTGTCTAATAGCTAATACTTTTGTTATTTCCTAAAGTAGAATTCTTCTAGAAATAGAAAGTTAGTGTGAATGTGTAATACTTTAATCTATTACACATATTAATGCAGTAGATATCTAGGTTAAATATGCACATATGATAAATGAAATATAATACTTGAAGTACATATGCATGCACTGGCCTGGAAACATGTTGAGAGTACTGATAAATGAGAAAAAGAAAGTTTCAGAAAATAGAAAACTGTTAATCAGATTTTTTATGGGAATTTCAAAAAGCGGTTCTTAGAGTGCATAATAGAAATATAATGATACAGAAATTATAACAATACTAAAGTTCTTCTGAGTAAATGAACTTGTTAAAATAATATAACCAGAAAATTCTAGGAAGCAATTGAATGTAAGAGCTATACCAAGATTGATAATAGAGTATAGGAAAGTAATCTCTTTGATCAATTAGATTATCAATTTTTTAAGCCTATCAATTTTACTGCCTTGGGAAGCAGTGAACCTACGAAGCCAAGTAAACATTTTGTAAAAATAGTTTTCCAATATTTGTTCTTTAATAGTTTTGACCATAAGGGAATTATCTTGACTAGTAAAGCAGCTTGTTGTTGATTTAATTTTTATTTTGTTTTAAATTTTTTTAATTGATTTATTTATATTTGTCACTTTACAGATGTATTTCCACTGCACAAAATTTTCCACCTCTGGGATACCTTACTGCTTGGGAATTCCTCTTTCCCATTCTGTATCGGAGTAGCAATTCTTCAGCAGCTGCGTGACCGACTTTTGGCTAATGGCTTTAATGAGTGCATTCTTCTCTTCTCTGACTTACCAGGTATAGATATATAAAAATGAAATCACTAAGTGAAATTTAATTATGGGATAATGAGACATCCTTAAAACAATTTTCAAAAATAATCATCCAGATCTTCAGAATCTCTTCTACTTGAGCTACATCCTTCCTCTCTGAACTCTCTCCCTTGTGTACCACCTCTTTAGTCAGACCAGTGTTGTAGATACAAAGTGGGTCATACTAGCTCACTGTCATTTATTTTCATGTCGGTGATGACGCCAAAAGGTGAAAGACAAGGGCATGGGAAGGGGGAGAAGGGAACAGTGTGTGACATATTTGCCTTGCTTAGGATAGGCCTGTTTATCTTCAGCAGACAGATAGTAAATAAAGGCCACTTGGGAAGGTGTTTGAGAACCCAAGTTTTTACAAAGATGTAATTCACATTGAACGTTGCTCTCTCCTATCCATAGTTAACTTGCTAACTATTTAATAGTTTAAAGAAAGGAAACACTGTCCTCTTGAGAGAGCAAATCATACTCCAGGGGAATAAATTCTATGTTATGCTGGATAGTAAGTAAAGTTATATATTGTATTCATAAATGAGGAACTTGTAAGTGTAGAAGTTGGTTAGTGTAGAAATACAGAATGCAGGTATAGTTTAAGCTTTTATGCTATAGCTGAAAAGATGGAAGTAATATGGTTGCATAGGATATAATTGTGGCAGAAAAAAGAAAACTAAGCTACATTTTTGCAGAAACCAAAGTATTTTTCAAGTAGAAAAATTCTATTTCAAATTGCATTTCATTGGCTCCAACCCATCTATGGGTTTATTGCTATTCTTCATATTTGCAGGCAACCAAGGTGATTACTGAAAATAAACACACTTAAAATTATCCAAGAGATAAATTTGTCAAAAAAATCAAAGAATAAAAGAAAGATGTCTTAAGATTTCATATTCAATATGTACTCTCAAAAGGAATAATAAACTGCTCCCTACCCCAGTTTTTATTTTTAGTGGCTCATCTGTACCTCGTATTTCAGCAATTTTCTGTTGTTGAAAATCTTCATCCTTTTTGAGAAACTAATAAGAAACTTTATGGGATTTATTTAAAACTTCTCTTTCTACTTTCCTCCCAAACTAAAAGTATCACCATCAGCTTCCTAACTTATCAAATTTTAATTAAAGTTAATAACTTCTTATATGAACAAGTAGTTTAGTTCTTATATTTTTTTTTCTGGGAGATTCTTAATGTAAATCAGGTTATCTCTAGTTTTCCTGTTGATGTTGAACAGTTACCCAAAAAAAAAGCTAGTTTCACAAGCTACAAATACTGTCTGTAACCCTGCAGATGTTTTCCTCTTGTCCCTAACCTGCCAAAGTAAACAGAGGATGATTGATGAGGATGAAAGGAATTTTTCTGGTCATGTCTAAAAAATACATGTTAGAAATGATGATTGTGCATTTTTAAGTAAAGCAAATTTCTTGCCTTTCCAATTACACGCATAAATGTTCCAGTTATACGCTGGTGAAGGAATCTATTTTCATATTGAACAGGCAGATTAGTCGTAACTCTGCATGTATATTAAAAGTCATTATTTCTGAAATCAGAACGTAAGAATGTATGTTGGTTAGCACTGACTCATTGAAAAGGAAAACACTACTTAGTTTTCAAAGTAGAATAGGATGCTTTCTATTGATGTGATTTGCATGGATCCTCAGTGCCATTGTTCTGACTCATCATTTACGTGACCACTGTATATGATTCCAGTTGGGAAAGAAAAAAGTTTATAAGAAAAAATGTGAAAAAGAAAAAAGAAGGGCAAAGGGGTTAAATGTAAACCTTTCCCTTAAGTATATCTATGTTTCTTTTTATTTTTAATCACAGTGCACTTACTTGGGATGTCTTTCCTACTTAGATTTAAAAGATGTCTCTTTTCATCATGTTGAGCCCCCTCACTATACCTGATGTTTGAAGAAACTCAGAAGTGGTCATGGGAAGGCCTAAAAAGTGAATCTGGATTAATATACATACAAACACACTGAATATGCCTTTTCTAATCAAAATATTATGTGACATAAACTTAGGACATATTTGAAAGGCAAAAAAGCCATTTTTTTAAGACTGTAAAAAAAGAAAAAGAATAGATAGGCTAGCTCTATATTTTACCTTAATTCTTGAAATAGACTTTGTAGATAAAGATAGGTTAGGATTAAACATTAATTTGAACTCATTAAACATATTGTGCTTTACTGAAACCCCTACTTAACTGTGTTTAAAAACATAAGTAAGCAATCAGAACAAATTAAGCTAAATTCTTTTTTGAAGCAGATTAGCAAATTCACTGTTCAAAACATCTGTTGACAGTAATACAACGGAATCACCATCCAGTTGGTAACCTTATAAACAAAATGCCCTTGCAATTTTTTTTAATTGTCCCATTCTAGTTGCTTCTTTCTACAAAGAGAGGTCCAAAAGCCTATTGACTAAGAGCATGGAATGTGGAGCCAGATCATTTGGGTTTTAGACACTAGCTCTACCACTTTCAATTGTATAACCTCAGGGACCTGACTCAGCCTCTGTATCTGTCTCCTTAGCCCTGATTTTACGTAGATGATAATTGTACCTACCTCACAGGATTGCTGTCCTAACTAAATCAGTGCATCTAAACAGCTTAGAGCAGTCCTTGCAGAGAGCAAGTGCTATGTAAGTGATTATTATTATTAATGTTATCACCATCATCATGATTTCCCTCACTTATTCCTTTCTATCGTGACTGCTTTCCTATTGGTAGAATAAATGAAGCAATCACCCTATTTGGCTTTTTCTATAAATTGTTGAGATTGATATCAATCATGTAGATTTCCTTATTAGCAAAAGCAATTGAGGAATTACCTGAGAAGCCAAGTAAGCCTTCGGTGTATGTGTGTGTATGCGTATTATGACTAAGAAGAGTATCTCTTTTCATTGCTCAGAGACAACATAGTCTAATGGATAGAAAGCACAGTCTTTGGAGTCAAGACATTAGAGTGTGAGTCCTAACTGTTCCACTCACTACCTGTGTGATCTGGGAAACTTTCAGTGTGGTTCTTTTGCTGAAAAGAGTGATATGTAGAGTGAAATAGATACGAGTTCACCCCCCAGCTCTGGCATATATTAGCTGTGTGAACATGAACAAGTTGTTAATCTCTTTGGAAAGAGAATCCTATACATTATGAAAGCTTTAGCAAAATGAAGCTAAAAATATCTGTTTTGGCATTAGAGTGAGCACAACAGATAATATTCATAGTGTACCTGACACAAAACCTGATACCAAATACTCATAACTATTCTTTAAAGTATGTATAGCTTTTAATGCTTTAAACATACAAAGAATGTGTGACATTCAGTCTTTGTAAATTCCCTCCCTTTTCTTCCTCCTTTCCATAACTTTGTACTAACCTTTTAATTCTTCAAGAGAGAACACAGCGTAAAGGCATTATTATTTTTGCCAAAAGCTGCTTCCAAATTCTGTCCCCTTCAGTAAATGATATAGTGTGATGTCACATTCCAAGGGGGTACAAGTGGTGCTAGAAAATTTTGCTGGGAGGTTCTTAACATGTATTGGTATTTGTGTCATTTAAGTACTCAAGGAAATAACCATGAGAGCAGTATATTTGGCATTTTTCATACAGTCTCAAAGTAGTAGTAATAGGGTATTTTAGAAGAAATACTGGGTTTTTCATAGCACCATTCAGTACTGGATATTGGCCACTGGTGTTAAGAGTATCGTTTCCAAAGCTACCACCTGTTCAACCCAACTACAGGATGAGGTCTGTCAGCCTTCGCCATATTATTCTGCTATCATGTCCATCTAGCTGACAAAATAATTTTTTTTGAGGATACATCTAAGCAGTTCCCAAGATGAATATGATGATAATCTGATTGAAACCAAAATGGTAATAATTTTAGAGTGGATCTGTAATAGCTGAAATGTTTAATTGCTTTTTTGCTTTGTTGGTGTATATCCTTTTTACAGTTAAAAATTAATGCAACATATTTATGTAATTATGGTTGAAATAAATTCTCAGAATGCATAACTTTGTACCTCTGAACATCTTCAAAGATAGGAATCTTTTAAAGTAAGAAAGTTTCTCTTAGAGAATCTATAAAAGAAATTAGGAAATCTGTATGGAAAAACACTTCACTTACTCTCAGAGATTAAAATGTTTACTTTACCATTGAAAGAAAGAAGTATGTTTAAAGTATTTTGAAGGAAACACTGTATATATTGAAGGAACTTGAATGTGTGAAAAGTAAATCCTTTTTGCAGGAAGAAATCAGCAGTTGGTTGAAACATCTTAGTTGTCTGATGTATGTTTTATTACAGAAATTTAATTAAAACATCTTAAATAAAACTTTAAGATGTTATCTCACTATTACCTACATACTTTACAGTAGGATTCAACACATACATGAAAAATACTGGTAGTGTCTATCATGTAGCACTTCACTGATTCCTCAAAAATATTGTAGCTCAGCAAAGTTACTTAACCATTTTGACTTAAAGCAGTTTTGTAATGCAGCCTTTAGTGTTATTTAGCATAGCAAAGAATATGTCATGAAAATCACACTTAGTTTGAGCAACACAGTTATGTACCAGATTACCTAAGATGTATGCTGAGAAATCCCTAGCCATTTATTTCAAATAACATGCACATATTTTGAGACTGAGAGAAAAGTTATTAAAGTTATTAAGAACTAAGAAATAGAGCAAAGTACTAAAGTATGTAGAATCCTTAAAGCTATGTCTTGTTATTTTCCTGTTTGTCCACAAGATGAAACTGAAAATCAGTGATAATGAGAGAGTGAGGAGGAAATGCAATTTAGTTTATGAAATCATAGATTTAAGGTACTGGTGACAGTCCCTGTCATAGTAAAGTGTGAAAGGAGATCAATAAGAACTGATCTGGGTTTTCCTTTTTTTTGGATAGGGTTCAGTGAATAATTTCTTGCTTTCATTTAGGAATAAGTATAAATTAAATAGGGTTTTCATAGTATTTA